GCTGTCTGGGAATGCGTCTCATTATCAGCGGTGTTGGAATCGGAGTTCGGAGTGCAAGTCTATTTCTCGTTCGCACCTTTCAGTTCGTCAGGTTTGCACACGGGGGAAGGGTAAAGTGGGAGCCTTAATGTTGAGAAAAGAGTTCTGTAAGGGATGCTACACGAGATATTATAGTCGTGCAGAGCATTGGGGCTTTATGCTGCATGTTCGGAGGCAAGTTCTTGGCAGGCAGTGCTACTCAATTCACACGAGCATACCGCCTACCCTTCTGAATCCTTCCTGCCACTTCAGCCCTGTACCGGTACTTAATTCTTACCGTCTGGTCAGCCACAATTCTATCCTGTTGCATTGAAGGTTTAGGATATTCATAGGAGTTGTGTTCACCATGGACTGCTTGGAGGATCAGGGGACTTAGTAAGTAAGGATATAAGTCCCCTAATTGGGGTTATAAGTATTTATAAGTATAGTTACCTTATTTATAACCCTAGTTACTAAGTCCCATGATCCTTTAAGTAGGGTATTCATAGGAGTTGTTTTGCACCATGGGCTAGGTCTCCCTAAACCCTAACCTCTCCTTACGACCGGCCCGGAACCCCCGGGTATGCTACTCGGCACTGAGTTACCCTTAGGCTCTAAGGACTCATATTTGAAGGCTTTTGGGCCCAAGGACCCATACTATATAAGGCTTTTGGGCTATTTTGAGCCTTAGAGTTAGTAAGGATCGAGAATAATGTTGTGTATACCTATGACCATTCACGCGGCTAAGGACGACAATGGCACCAAATGGTGGTACTACTCTGGGCCGAAAGGCTTGGCGGGTTGAGGGTGCTGTACACGTCGAAGCTATTCAATTATACCCAAAATTTTGCCGGAAAGTTCCTGAGTATTTTGTACTGTAACACACTCCCAAAAAACCACTATTCTGATTACGCAGGCCACTTTTCTAAGCACTTAAAGGAACGCTACTCGCTGAGGCCCCTAAACCAAGCCCTTATACTCGTGACCTTCAACAGCAACCCCTTTTGTATTTGTAAGAAGGAGTCGCAGGTTGCCCAGTAGTGCCCTTATTCCGTTTCTTTTCCTAGGTTCATAGGGATCCTTAGGGGTGTAGGGGGAAGGGGGGGTAGGGGGCCTTAAGGCCCATAATAAGGACTAATAAGGCTTATTTAAGGAAATATAGTCCCCTACACCCCTCCCCCCTACACCCCTAAGGATCCCTATGATAGGTTCCTGGTAAAGTTACCCAATCCCAAAAAGCGAGCCCTTTTTATTCCTAGGTTACTCGGCATCCTAGTACCTTAACGGCACCCTTGACTAAGGGACCCTCGTCTTGGAAAGCGACAGGTCTTGACTTGGACAGCTTGGGGTTTGGCTTCAGGCTTATTGGGTTTGACAGTTTTGGGGGTATGGTGGTTAGAGTTGAGTGTTTGAGAGTTAGGGTTCTTGGTTTAGGAGTTCAAGGGTTCCGGGTTTAGGCATTCGACGTCTTAAGGCCTCTGTGTTAAGGCTTCCAGAACTAAGCTAATATTGGGGCTGCATTACAGGTATAGTAAAATATGACCCAAGGCCCCTGTAGTAAAGGGCCTCACTCACCGAGACCCATGGCTCCTGCCAAAGGTGCATGGTGCAGTGCTGGACCTGGAAAAGAAGTGATTCAGATGCTCGGCTTTGGAGTACCATACTTTCATACTTTTGTTCTTAAAGGAACCATTATGAAATAAAAGTCTATACCTTTTTTCTCCCTGGCGAATTAAACGCCCAGGATGAACAGCATCAACCTGACGTGAAACAGCACTGGACTTAGCTCAGCGAGGTGGGACCTTTCGGGGGGGGGGGTTCAACCTCTAGCCAGATCCATGCTGCCTTGGGCCTCTTTACATGTTCGAAAAGGCTTATTCTTGAAAGGCAATGTGGCTTATCCGATTCCCTCAGGGTCCATGTGCCCAAATAGTATATACATTGGCCCTAGTCCCTATATAGGTACATTGGGCCCAAAGTATATACTATTTGGGCACATGGACCCTTAGGGATATTGAATCCTGGAGAATAGAATCCAAGGTGTTGACCCCTGGGCCAACTACCTTGCCAACCAGACTATTAGGCATGCAGTACCTGGACCCACATGGGCAGTTCTCTAAAGCCGGGTCCCTTTTGGGGGGGTCCTTTGGATAACTTACTTCAAGGGTGCCGTAAGATGTTGCGGACCAAAAAGGGACCGCCATATAGAGAATTTCCCACACGGTGCTGGCATGTCACTTAGGTGAAGATTCGCCCAGTTCCCAGGCTGCCTCTGAGAGAGACGGGCCTACGACATGAGAGTCCAGGTACGAAGGATACCGGCGAAAGATCCGGAGAAAGGTGCCAGGAGCCAGGTACTACGAAGATTGCAAGCGACTACTAATAACCTGCTTACTAAGTCCCCTGCCCCTCCAAGTACACAGGAAGTCCATTATTGTACGATGGGTTAAAGCTTTTTGTGCTATACAGTGATGGTGGCGATGGTAGGTACGGGTGCGCGAAATAAGGCAAGGTTTTGTTACAGAGGCAACCAGCACAAGTTAAGCGATAACGCCGCAAGCGTGCACAGAGCTTACTCTTAGCTGGGACCATTCCATTACCGTTGCAGAAGGTCCCAAACTCCATTGGACTGAAACTGCGAATCTTGGACACGAAGCCTGAAGACCTAAAACTGTTCGGTAAAGATAAGGGTGGATGTAGCACACCTCTGCCATTGTTCTGTTTATCAGCCTTCCCTGCACCTGGTGACACTATAAGGTTAAACTGATTCTGTTTTCGGCGTCTACGGGTTCGGTCTAAGTTACGGTAAGAGCGTCATACCTACCACTGGGGGGCCATGTACCCTTGTTGAAGCGCGCGAAAAGGGTCCTGGAACCCTAAAGCCGAGACCAACCCTAAACCCTAAACCCTAAACCCTAAACCCTAAACCCTACAACCATTGGCATTGGGGCTCTCGGAATCGAGCCTTAGGCTGAAGATTGATTTTTTTCGCTTACTGTAGGTGCGCTTGGCGCCTTGGCAGCGGCTTCTGTTGACACTGACCCGTATGGGTTTAGGGTTTAGGGTTTAGGGTTTAGGGTTTAATAAATCCTGTAACCCAACACCTTATAAACCCTAGCTATAACCATAACCCTTCAACCCTCAGAGTTCCTGTTTTATCAACACATCGAGAACTTGTTATGAAACTCCGAAGAAGGGACACCAAAACCACTGAAACCCCAAACTCTAAAGCCTCAGCTTAAGCCCGAAGCCCTCAATCCTGCCACTGGGGGATGCCTTGCAAAGTAAGTCTGCAAGCCGCGGAGCACATGATATATGAGAAATGAGTCCATACATAATTAGAATAGGTTTCTGGGCTCGTGTATGGTATAATTACGATAAGAAACCCTAAGCAATCATATTGGTAGTTATGCAGGCTTCTACAATGAACTTCCAGGCCAAGTTAAGTTACCTGCAGAGCCATAGTTTCTTCACAGTAGCTGAGCTTCTAAGGCAAGCTGCGGCTTTCATTTTAGAGTGACGGTTCATTCCTGAGCAAATGCCTTCACTACAAACACTGAACGCACCAGACCACGAAGAGAGCCCCGAACGGGTGACAGAGTTTACAAACATCTCACAAGCTGCTGTCAGCATTCGCCCTGGACAGCCTAAACTTCCAGTTTTGCAGAAGTGCTTGCTGCCAAGTGCCATGTGCAAGATGCGTTTACGGCCCTTGCGATGAGCTTTGACTCTCAGAGGGGGTCGGGGGGCTAGGGGTGCAGGCTGGAACTTGGGGGTGTGCTGATGAAGGCGAAGGCAACCAGACCTTTCTGAAGCAAGGTAGGCAGCTTTTTATAAAACCCGTGTAAACCCTACAGAGTCCTGTGGTTGCCTTGTCAAATTTTTGAAACGGCTATATCGCCAAAGAAGGAAGCCAGAGGTGCAGTGGGAAATGATGTTTAGAAGCAGAGATTCGAGAGGGGACTCGAGTTCAAGGCACTCTTGGGGCCTAAATAGTTACCAATATTATTGCGGGGGGCTCCTTATTATGATTATAGTGTAATGGGCCCCAGAACCCTATTCAAATTAATCATACAGGCCCCTATGCTACACCCTTATAGTAACCCTTGTAGAACCCTTTTTAAGAACCCTTTAAAGGAACCTTATTCTTGTTTATCAGGCCCCCGTATTACCCCGAGCCCAGAATTGCAGAGGCAGCTGCGAGACCAAGCGAGATGCATGCACTTGGAGAGGGTTGGCCCAAGGCACGCAAGGGCAGTCAGCAGCAACAGCTGCGACAACCTGCAAACCCTAAGGCGGACAGGACTATGAGTTGCAACCACTTCTGCTTCTCTTCATCATCTTTAACTATTTCTAAGACCTATCCGACTTATCCATTATTCCAGGTTCTAGATTGTGAGTATGACTGTGGTTATGATGCAGGATCCCTAATTAAGCCCTAAAGCCTGAACCCTCACTAAACTCCCTAAACCCTAAAGCCTAAACCCTACGCTTATTCCCTAAAGCCTAAACCCCAAAGCCTAAACCCTTAAGCCTAAACCCTAAACCCCAAACCCTAAACTCAGGCCCACGTGCCTTGGGCCTCCCGACTCTTCTTGCTTAGCTACTGCAGCGATGAGCGCTTGCGCGCGGCAAAAGTGTCCGCACAGAGTTTAGGGCTTAGAGGGGACGAGGGTTTACGGCCAAAGGCCTAGAGCTTAGGGTTTAGTCATAGATGTCCATAGCCGGTCTGTCTCAACCATCGGGCTGTCTCGATTAAGGGTTCTGTCTCAGCTTGTTTATGTGGGGTACGATGCTTGCAGAAAGTCGCTCCTTTTTTTCCCTCGCCCACCCCAGTTGCAAAGGCTACATCGCATTTTCTAAATGTGAAACGAAACCCCTGAGCAGCAGGCATTGAATCACACGGCCGAAAAAAGAGTGTTGATTAATTATTGTGCTGCCCTAGTCTGTTTCATTCCATACCTGCATCGTTCCCCAAACTTTCACTGCGTCCTTCGCCGCTTGTCCTTCATGGCCTCGTTGGCCCACGTCCAGGTCATATAGTATGCCTGCGACTGCGACCGCTTCTCTGGTGCCAGCGATTTTGTTTCGACCTTTGCCAAATCGACCTCCTCCTTGGGAAGCTCATCATTGTAGCTCGCGGAGCAAGAACCCCTGAGCAAAATCATTTGATGACAAACGGGGGGAGGGATCTAGAATCTAGAATCAATATGAGTTCAGTGATTCAGAATCAGAAGAAAGACGAAGAAGTGAAAAACCAAGGCACTTGTTGTTGAACTTGCCGGTCAACAACCTGGCTTGAAACAGTGGTCTCGTTTGATCCCGATGCACCGTGTGAGTGATGCTGATACCATCCATGACCGGCCATCTGTCCGTCAAATGTTTGGGGATCATAGAAGCCGACGAAAGCAGCCTTCTGGACTCACGAAGTGTATTGGCGGCGTCAGCAGCGTCTCCCCTTTCAGCAAGAGGCAGCTCCTGGCAACCGAAACTATTCATGACTGACTAACTTGCGGTACCAGTCAGGAACCCCATCTGAAATGAAATGGGTGGGTCGGGTGCTTCTGGGCGCTTAGTCGTGTCATTTTGGGCCGGATGTGTTTTGTGAATTCACGGTCCTGGCCAGCTGCCGCCTCTGGATCTTGTGGTGCTTCCGCTGGCTGTTCCTTATTATCATTATTATTGTTACTTGAATGGCATTGAGTCGAGTCGGAATTGAAAATGGGCCCCAGTCGCAAAGTCGGACGATTCTAGGACCCGAAACAATTTAATATTTAAGAAATAAATTATGAATAATGAATATTGCGGTGCTGTGACATGAAGGAACCCAGGGCTTTTGTTTTTGCAGTTTGTACATCCTATGGGGTAATGTAATATTACAGTATTATCTGAAGCATTGAATCACCATCTCAAGTACGTGATTCATTCATTAATTTATAAGTAAAATAATAAGTAGCATAATTTAGATAAAATAAATTAATCATAATTATAATAGTAATTATAATATAAAAAATTACCTAGACTAGGTCAGACTAGCTGTTGATGTTAGTAAAGCAACAAGAGCCCCAGACCCCAGAAACGGCTGAACGTCGGCAAGCAGCCTCCTCATCATCATCTCCGATCAAAGCCAAAAGCTCGTTGGCTGCAGCCAAAGTAGGATCTGGCTCCTCCATGAGCTCGAAAGCCTGTTGTGGCAAGAGCTTGCGTCGTTGAATTTCTTAAGAATTGAAATAACCAGCCCGGATTCGGACCTGTTGAACCAAGTAATTTATTGTCGGATTAATAATGAAACAGGAAACGAGATCATTATTCCAAGGGCCTCGGGCTGCTCATCATCATCATCTTCTTGCTCTGCATTTGCACTGCGGTTTCGCCGCTTCGCATCCATTTCCTCACACATCTTCCCGATGTCCTGAACATCCTTTTCGGATATGTGCTGCTTCACTTCATTGAGCTGCAGAACTGCCTTGATCTTCGCGGTCTTGGAGGCATTCTTTCTCAGTCGGGATCCATACATGTGTAGAATCTTGGAAAGGTTCTCACTCGTCACACTGCAGATATCCCGACTATAGACGAGGTGCAGCACCAGGGGCTTAGGCTGGGAGGATCTTCTGAAAACAAGGCTGCTGCCGATCTTGCTTGCAAGGCTGTTGCTGCAGCAGTGCACTGTGTAATAGTAGCATCCCACCTCTGCAGAATCGTGTGTTGAATAAATGGAAGCTTCAATCCAATGCTAAGTGATAAATGTTTTACGAATGAACTCGAACCTTTACAGTGAATCTAGTCTAATTTAGATTATTCAAATTAAAGTCAAAAACTGAACAGTAGTAGTAATTCAATTCACTGAATTAGACCGAGGCACTTGGCTAAAGTCAACCAAGGTCCGCTGTAGCAATGGCCTCGGTCGGCGTGTATCTGAAATACTAATGAACCAAGAAAGACAACCCTGAGTGTGAGCGTTTGCTACAGTTGAATCGCAACCGGCTCGTGAGTAGTCTTGTCAGTGAGTTAATTAAATACATGAATGAAACAATTTGATGGATCCGGCTAGCTAGCAACTCAAATGCTGCTTTCATCCAAGTGGCTTGCTTACGTCAAGCACCAATGCTTTGGAGCTTTCACCCTCCTTCAGGCAATCCTCTGCTTCCCACCGGGCCACATTTTTGGCAACACTGTTCTCGTCGATTGTCTCGGGCGGCAGCTCCCCGTGAAAGATCAACTCGATCTCGCGTAGCTTCAGTGCCTTTCAGGTTGTGATGGGTGAAGCCGAAGTTTTCTCCAAACACCCGAGACCTACTTTCCAGATTCAAATCAGTGGCTGCATCTATACTTTTGATACGACTAGAAAGACAGAAATAATATATTACACAGGCAAATACATAAATTCGTTAAATTAAGACCTATATAGGAGAAACAGAACCTTCGGCTGGTCAAGGGTTGGAGGGTTATTATTAATCAACTCCAAGACACACACAGCAAACCGGGGTTGCTTCCCAAGGCTAGCAGAAAAGACTGGTTCACCTTGATCAGCATGCCTCTCCGGACGACCCCTGGAACCCAAAACGAAGCCGAAGCATCAGCCGGATCCAGGCCACACCTTATCACCGGGAGCACGGCAAGGAATCTAAGAAGGTGTTTCATAATAATATGGTTAATTTATTACTATCATTATAATTGATAATTAATATAAATTAACAAATATTTAGTTAAATTAAATAAATAATTAATACTAATAATACTAACAATTATTATCAAATAGTAATTATAACATTTATTATACTAATTTTCTTCGGTTCAACCAATTCTGCGGGCATTGTCTGTCAATCAGGGGGCGGGTTGCCACGGCTGCCGATTGCATTGAATTAGTCTAATTAATATACTTAGTCGTGTCAACTAATAAATTAATTCAAAACGGTATTCTGACAAATGTAACACCCAGCAGCATCCGTGCCTCGAGAAAAGCTTTCATGTAGTTCAAGGTCCCCTTGTTGTGCTGGTGAGCCGACGTGCCGGATGCACTAGACAGGATGGTGTCCAAATGCAGATCTTGGCCTCGGTTGCGCGATTCACACCACCACTGAATAAACAATCAGGTAATGCAACCAATTTGCGAAAAAGCACATCCCAGGCCAAAAGAAGTCCAGGTGACAACTAGTTGTAAAAAGTAACAACAATAATTATTAATTAGATAACCAGTTGCCCTGACTAGTCCATGTCACCCTAGTCAGGAAAAATTTTATTTATTATAATTATATTGATTATTATTATCATCGCCAGACATTCCGAGTCTGTCTGTGTGCGTTCGACCAGCACAATTTTTGGACCTGGTGTTTGTTAGTTTCCCAGTATTTGAGAATAGTCTGCTGGACCCACCTGTGTTGACACGGAGATATGTGGCTCAAACTTATTACTATTTCTGGCTAGATTGAATTGTGACAATTCTGAATTCTCCGATACACATGACAAAGACAAAGGATGATGGTCGTGTGTCGGTAGACTGATAATAAAGTTTGTGCTCGTTTCGGTCGAAGCAAACTTGTTCTTGCTGTAGTGTGTAATATACAGAGAAAAATATAAGACCCAGCATTAATTAAATTGTATGTGCCCACAAACCCACAAGATTTCACACGGGTGCCCGAATCTCTCGTCGATGTCGTTCGTCGATTATCAGAAACAGAAGCACTACTTGCAGCTGTGTCTCTTCCAGTGAAGGTCTCCGGCTGGAACAACTTCTGTTTCAAAGCTCGCACCGTCGTCCCTTCCCAGTCACAGTCTTGTAGTTTCACAGAAGCGGCTTGGCCGGGTCCGTCCAGCATCTTGGAGTAGAGAGCTTTGACCCCCACCGTACTGAGATTCGTGATCCCAGCCGTCCCACCCTTCGAGCCACGTTTGACACTGTCTTGCATGCAAGAAAACTGCTCCTCCACATTGGCAGAAAAGCTAAGCCGTGGAAACCATGCCATCACTAGGTCACGAACGGTTTGGGTCAAATGGAATCCATCAGACTCCAGACCAACCAGGGTCTCACGGTAAACCTGCCACTTCACATGTGGGCAAAGCTTGTGCAGTAGGTCGGCTGTGTTCTTACTTGCTTCCATCGACAGCACAGTCGCCCACTCAAACTTCAGGGCTTGCAGGACCTTGGACTGCACGGCCTCCAGGTCGGAGACTTCTGTGGACTCTTCCAGTAGGAGACAGGCGCTCGAAGCCGGAGCAGCCGTGAGGTACAGTTGGTAGGACCCGAGTTCGTACAAAGTAACGAGGCAAAGGTCCAAGTGGTCTCGGAGGAGGTCTTGTTGCACACTGCATCGTCGCTTCGCCACTCGTAACTCCTTACTTAGGCAGGCAGGGGAGCTTACTGTTTTCGATTTGACTCGTTGTCTAGTGTCGAGTCAGTGGAAGTCAAGGGATTGAAGACAAGGCCCACAAAGTTGTTTCGATTCGGTACAAACCATTGTTTGCAGTGCCAATCATACATATTGTGATTGTTTCTTCTACTTACCTATTATATTGTTACTATTTTATTTATTTATTAATTTGATTGATTGACTAGGCCACCATACACAGTTCATACTGGCGGACTAGCCGCCGTTGAATTGAATCCAACATACATTCACCCAAAATTTTGCTATAAATCTAGTAAGTACAGCACTGGCGGACTAGCCGCCGTTGTTTGTCTGGTCTAGTGCAGACGAACTAGTACTAGTTATCAGTTGTTTGCATAAGTCTAGTTAGGGCGGAGTAGCCGCCGATTTGTCCAGGGCGGAGTAGCCGCCGTGGATGATAGGGCGGAGTAGCCGCCGTGGATATTGCGGACCAGCCGCACTACATCAATCAAGCGGAGTAGCCGCCATTTCTTTTGTGCGGCCTAGCCGCCGTTAGCTACTGCCACTGTAACTAATTTTATTAATTAATTATATTATATTAATATCCTACTGTATAACTAACTAACAAATATGAGTACATTGCAAGCAGCAGAAATGAAACTGTTCATTAGTAATTCGAAGACTCACATTGCATCAGGTTGAAGCGAATGAACCCAAAAGTGTAGTGTTTTCTTCTGTCAAAAAACGAACATATCGGTGTTTATGATATCAGTTTCAGCAGAACAGCCGCTGCAGGATTACTGCCTTCATTCATTCATCCATCTTTGTCAAATAATAATACTAATATCTCATCCGAGTAGCAAGACCGTGCACGTCGAGGTCTGACATCATAGCCATCGAAGCCATGCCTTGCGGGCCCAGGCCCTCCTCGACGACTCGGGTAAGTCGAGCTTCGAAACCAGGAGAGTTGCACCAGGCTGTATGTTCGTGCAAGGCGTTCAACTTCGACTTGTTGGATTGCTTAGATGAAGCAACCGCTTCTGGACCGGATGACTGTACACATGGAAACATGCAAAATCACACAAGCTTGCAGGTTGCATACACCATTCTGCACATGCAATCTAGTAACGAGCCATCTGCACATGTCGCACCAGGGCTCGGTGAAGAACTGAAGGCTTTCGAAGAGCTTGTGGGCCTCCTCGTCAACAAGGGCCTCGCAACGACACCGAAAATCATGTAGACAACGACAATTGTGTGAAGCCTTGTGGTCTCTGTTGTTCGTTTTCCGTGCTGCCGAGAAGCCCGGACACAGCAGTCCATGATGCGGTTGTACTGTTGCCCGTCGTCTCCGGTGGCAGCCACCCCCATGTCTGCGAAAGGGTTGATACCCTCCTGATAACAAAACAGCAACCCACGTCGACATGTGGGCTGCATTCGCTATGACTTGCGAGCCTCGAGGCAACTCCACAGTACCACAAGCAATGTCGCACTGTAGTACTTCTTGAAGCCGGCTGCACAAAAGCCCCAACTGCACCACCGGCCGGCTTTGTAGGACGAGGAGACTCGCCTTACTGTAACTCAATGGCAAAAACTGATTAAATGAGCATGCAGCGAGACTTGCATTTGATCATCTAGCAAGGGCGGCCCAGGGTCTTGCTTGCGTTCTTGACAATGCTGCAAACATTCTCAAATGCGTGAGTGCCTTCGGCGTTTGGATCCCAGCCATTCCTCGCTTGGGCACACAAGTTGTTGCAGTTTAGTAATTAATTAATTCATTAATTAATTCACTAATTAATACTATTGTTCCAAATACAGACGACCAACCCGCAGACTAAGTTCCATTCCAAGACACTCTGCCAAAATGGACGAAGCAAAGAGCTCCTGTAGCAAATCCTCAGAATGGGCCTGCAAGCAGAAGCTCTACATTGCCAAGGGTGCATGGAAGCTGGAACAAAACTCAAAAGCAAGTTTTCTTGCCAGCATCATGTAAATTTTACGACTTGCAATCCAAGCCACCACCTGTAGATACCGGTCTGCAGCCTGTTGCCAGGAAGCTCCAATTTTGCAGGTGTCCCAAGGACCTTTTTTGGCTTTCATCAACCACTCACTGAGTCGCCAGGTTCCTTGGAATGATTGATTCAGGAAGCACAAAAAAGTGGCAGACTCAGCGGTGGCAATACAGCATCAGTCCCATCGGAAACAAGCAGTTACACGACTAGACTAGGCCTGTACAGCCTAGGCAACTTCCGACTAGAGCACTGTCTGTCGAAACGTGACGATTGGCTAATTTCAGCTGACTGAGGCTCTCTTCACGGCTTTGTTGCACTGCAGCGTTCGTAGATAGTGGTTTTGCAACTTGTGCCTCGGCACGGGGAGCTGGGGTGGGGGTCAGGCTGCGGGGGTTGAACCTGTTGAAATTGAACAACTGACAAAAAATAACATAATCTGCAACCACGTTGACAATTCATCACGAACAAAATTCACCTTGAAGCTTTGGGAGGCAAGGAAGGTGAATGCAGACCAGAGGGTAGACCCCTCGTCTGGAGCCAAGACGAGTCTGAGGTTGGACTGGTGCCTCGGGGTGAGGCAATCCCAAGCTGCCTCCCCTGTGGACGGGTCCCACAGCCAAGCTTTGCCGTCCTCCACCATCCTTTTCTCGCCTTTTTGTGCGTCCAACGGACGAAGAAAACTATCTCCGACCAGTAGCTCCAGGTCGAGAACCGACAACACGTGCATGCATGCCCTCATCTGCTCTCTGGCAGAAAGCTTCTTCTGGCGGATGCTGCTTATGGCTTTCGGCCTGACAGCATGAGTTAATTTTGGGATTGGTACTCCAAACAAATGAGAAGCCAGGCGAAAACAGGCCCAAGAACCGTGTCTTGGTGCTGCCCAGGTGCATTTTCTTCAACTTGGCTTGATTCTCTCCAGTCTCAGCAAACTTGTCAATGATCTTCTGGCCTTCTTGCATCTTTGTTTGCACACTGGCAGTGCTGATAGCCAGAGCACTCAGTCGCTGAAGCGGCAAGGCCGCTGCGACTCTGCCAGCAAAGCCGATCGGCGACCAGACCTTGGATTGGATCTTGGGTTTTAAATTTTATGGCAAAAGCAGGCATCAATGAACTGGTTGTACTCAATATGCGAGCGACATCCAGCTTCCCCTTCGGGGATGCATCCACTATGAGCTCCAGCGACCGAAACGTCTGCTGGTTCAGATCCTGCCCGCAATTGTTGCTTTGTTTGTCTGCGTGGCTGGCTTTGTCATTTGTCTAGGAAACACGGGAACACACGGGAACAAAGCAAATGCACACCTGGGCTTGCGAATCAGGTTGTGCTAGACTGCCACAAACAAGCCTTGTGCAGCTCCGTCGCCGACTTTTGCCAGTACCTGTAGAGAAAATCGCTGGCCAGCCTCGGATGATCAAACCTGCTCCCTCCTCAACCAAAAGAGCCGGGTCAACATCTTGTACTGGGTCTTCTGCAGAAAAATATACTACATGTCCAAGGTGCCTGTGATGATGGGATGGAACCACATCAGCCATGCCCAAAGACTCCAACGTCTCGTCATGCGACGTGGAGAAAGTACCGGCGGCTCTGCACAAGAACCGCTGCATGCTGAAAACATTCTTCGGCTTCGCATTGTTGCGGAGGCTTTTGCCATTCCTGCAATTCGGGATATGTCGCAGCTGCAGAGGCGAAACAACCCTGTGTGGCACTGCTGACTTGCCGAGCGAGGAGCTTTTTGCACGGATGAAATTCATCCGTGCTACAGACTTCCGGAAGCTTGTCCGAGACAACAGTGTCCACATGGCCTTCTGCTAGTTGCGACAGTCTGTGGATCAGCCGCTTGTGTACTCTGGCTGCATCGATTCGTCCCTGCAACACTCCCCAGGCATGAACGGTGCACAGGACTCCACGATTCTGAGTCTTAGTGTTTGACATGACCAGCCTCACACAGCTTGTCCTCATGGCTTATCCTCAGCAAAAACCAAGTCACGGTGCCGATGCGAAGTCCTGCCATCACGAGGAATTCCGTGATAGTAGCAGCAAAGAACTCATGTTAAATTAAACCATAGCAAATGGGAACTTGTTTAAATGTATAAGAAATCACTTTGTTTCCTCGTTGTAGCTTCTGCGTCGCAGGCGTGAACAACTTCGTTGTTTGCCACCTGGACACCAGTCTTGCTCAGGTTCGTGTATAATAAGCTATGAAATATGCGGCCGAGCACTAGCAATCCCGCCTTCGGTGGACCCCCAAGAATTCTAGGGTAGCGGCCCAGGCTTCCAAATTCACCTCGGAGCCCGAGACCAGCAGCTTGCCTTGGCAAACTTGGCGTAACAGCAAAGATTCACCAAATGATTTCAAATTCCGTTCGGATAACACAGCAAATGAGAAGGTGCAGCTTGATAGACATGAGACAAGAGTCAGACTGGCACATTCGGCAGTAAATCAATCTCTATCTCCGGTGGAAGCAGATTGTTGGCGAACATTTCAATAGCAGCAAGAGCTGCCCGCTGGTGGCCCGGGCTGCAGCCCCGTTGCTGTATGACACAGGACACCTGGGGCCACATGCGGGTGAGTAATTGTTCCAGCGAAACCAACACCAAATCAAATCGCATCCAAGCAGCCATGAGCAGGAATCCAGGGCAGGTGACACCGTTGAATCGAATGCACACTGGGATGTTTTCTTTCTCAATTCTCTTACCCTTGTAGTCAGAGGCTCGGATGATGTGTGTTTGCAGCTCCACCAGCCATGCTTCTGTAAGCTGCTTGACGATAGTCATGTTCCTTAGTCAATGACAATATCAACAGACCAACAGTGGGAAACCCGGTTCTAAGTCTTTTGTGTAATTTAGTTAGTTGAATGACATTTGTAAATAATAAGGAAATAAATAAATCAAATCAGTTACATAAGATACTGACAGCGTAGTGCAGCTCCAGCTTCGCTTTGCAAAACCAGTTGTGGAAGGGTTGTGACCGAGCAAGCATCGGCCAGATCTCTTCCACTCTCAGCAGCCAAGCATAGCCACGGGAGTGTGGGACAAGGTCCTCCACCTATTTGGGGTCCCTAGACTACTCGACGGAGGTGATACTGCTTCTGATTCTGACTGGTCAAGTTGACAAAACGTAACACTAATAACAAACGAAATATTGGTGGCTATCTAGGTCGAGCGGCCTTGTGAAGCTGCAAGACTCCCTGTCTTCCCATTTTGGTTCTAATGAAACCTACTCGGCAGTCGGCGTACTTAGTAGAGCCCTTGTCGTTTGATGGAGAGGTAGTAGAGGCTCCAGAGGTGCTGGGTGTCTCTTGATCTGTCTCGGGCTTCTCTGTCCTGCACTCTTCAGCTCGCCATTCACGTAGGGGGGGTCGCAATATGAGTCCGACAGTAGCTGCTCTTCCACGGAACTCATCCACAACAGCCTGCACTGCATGACCGACTCGGTGAATGCATAAGTTAAATTAAATATTAATAAGAAACTGCTTGCACTCAAGAATCCCAGCATTGGACGAGTGCACATTAAGCAGCAAAAGTTAGTTGTCGGCTCCTAATCACGTACTTACTTAAGTAGCCAAAGGGCATCCCAAGCTTCAACGGATAGTTTGCCAACACTGGGACTCAATGTCTGGCCAGCCATTATCTTCTTGTCCGCCGACTTCAGAAATATCTGGCAAACCCGCAGCATCTCCCTTTTCTCGTCATCATTTGAGCTCCTGAGTAGGTACTGTATTATTATATTATCGAGACAGAACTCAGTCTTTCGCAGCAGCGAGACAGAACGCTCAAGTGCCCAGCCCAGTCGCTCGCCGAGCTCCCGAATCTTTCGGGCCAGCCACGTGTCCATCCGTGTCCTGGTCGGCAGGGCAACAGCACGACACAGTTCCATCAAACCGTTTTGTAAGGTCACGTGTCTGCTTCAGGCGTTGTGTGGTCGCCACGTGCGTGCACGTGGCGACCATAAAATGCTGAGACAGAACGCTCGAGACAGCACGTACTAATTGCATCAATTCTTCGAAGCATTCTCAAAAACGCAATACTAAGGGATTCTGCAAACTAGAGTTCTGCCTCAGCCGTTGTGTGGTCGGCACGTGCGTGCACGTGCCGACTTTTTTTTTGAGATGGAACGCACTGGAGACAGAACGCTCTCTAGATTCAGCCCGAGACGTAACTTATCGGAATCCAGACAGCACGTAACCGGCACCCGAATCGAGACAGAACGCTGGCGGCCGCCCCGTCGCCCCCAGACAGAACGTAACCCCCCTTAGAAAAACCCCGAGAACTAGGCTCTGCCTTTAAATATATTCAAACGAGCAGTAGTAAAATCCGGAACCCAAATCGGGCCCTACTCTGGGCCCCATCGACTGCTGATTCGGGACTCACACATACCCTTTTGTGTACCAGACCCATAGATACCGCCGACAAGCAGCAGCCCGGCCTCCAAGAACAGATCCCCCCGGATGGCAGTCGCGAGCTCCAAACAGAGGCCACAAAATGCGGCCACTACTGGTTAGATCACTATATTCTATCAACGAAACTCTGTGTTCTGGTGTGACTGAGTATCAGTAAACCCCGTACCAGGTCAAGGATCCTAACATTTAACAAATAAGCACACTTTAGGTTTTATTAATTAATTAAAAACAATGCAAGAACCGGGTCTCAAAGTTGCATACTGACTCCGTCGTGCTGAACTACTAGGACTCTTACTTGCTAAGTCTTTAGTACTTAGTAGCCAAGCTCATAAACCATAACAATGCTCCATCCAAGGTCGCCTGGCTTTACTACATTACTGCATAATCATTACCAAGTCGAAGCCAAGAAGCAGGGCCCGGCAGAAATCGGTGAGTAAGCATTTCAGTACATTGAAACAGCCACATGAATCAATCTAAATCAACCAAACAGGAAATACTAAATCGCAGGGAGTCTCCTGCTGATTCTGCAAGGACTCATTTTCACCGCGTTTGGAGTTTGGTTCCCATTGCAAACTTCAGCTGTACCCTGGTGTGCTGAAGAGCAGGCACATGGCTTTACATGTGGGCCAGGACGGACAGATCGGGCTGCCGTGAAATCGTCCGAGGTAGCCAAAATTCCTGGGGCACGGGCGGTGGGCTGCTGCAGTTATGGGGCGGGCACACCTTGGGTACTTCTCCTGGTCCGAAATAACAAGCCGTGAAATTAACATATGCAAGTGACCACAAAACAGTGGCTTTCGAAACTCAATCGCCGTCGTGACCCGATTCGCCCTCGTTGACGTCGACATCCTGCTGGGCTGCCTGTGTCGTGACTGATAGCAGGGACACGGGTTGCAAGACCCAATAAATAAATTGGCCAAGTGACCTCCTTCAACATCTCGGGCCACGTCGAAAGTTGCTTTCTACCCTTCAATGTCATCTTAGCTTGGATAGTCTTGCTCTGCTCGCCCAAGTTATCCAGCCATTGTCCTTAGATTGCATTGAACAATATGAACAGAGACCTGACCAGATACCTACATCACATTTTTGCAGCACAGAAGCCTCCCAGTTCCGAAACGAACTCCACCGCGTCGTTGAGGTTCAAAATGTCCTCGGCCAGGAGGATATCCAGAAAGTGAGGGAAGTCCGACCTCAGCAAACAGCAGCAACACGAGCAGAAAACATCACCGGCAAAAAACAACGACGAATGCAATCATATGTTTCCTCAATGCCAGCAGGACACGAAGACAAGCAGGTCGGTAGGGCATCAATCAAATCCGAGTCTATCTTCTCCAACTTTGAGCGGATGACACGGGGGAGCTGATCCCAGGAAGCACCTTTAGAACCCTCGGCAGAACCATCCATGATGGCTGGGATGTTCGGGGTGCTGGCGGGAGCTTCCGCCGGGACAGCCAATGCGAACTTGTCCTTGAACAGATCCGAATCCTCATTGAGAAGGTCCTCCAAAGCCTTTGTGGCCGGCCGTGGCAAGGTCTCCTCGTCATCCTCGTCGCGGTTCTCAGAACTGGAGTCGCCGGCACCATCCTCCCTGGAATCTCAAGACGACGGGGCTTCACACACGACAAAGGCTCAGCAGCCTCGGCCTTTCTCTTCCTAGGAGCCTCAGACAGAGCCTTGGCCGCTGACTTCTCTTTCGAATCGGGCGTCTTCTGTTCAGCCCGTTGGCAAACGAGGCTCCGGACATCCCCATTTGCCTCCTGGAACAGACAGGGATTGAGAACATGCTCGTGCGTCAGCCTTCTCTGCAGGGGCTTGGAACTGCTTCTCCGTTTAGAAATACAGACAGCAACTCACTGCAACGGTCCACTTCACATGCTTTTTACAGTTTTGTGATTATGATAGCAGACAAAATCTGATTCTTGCACAAATGAACAGAACTCTGATCTTTTTTGCAGTGCTGCAAGTGCTGTCTGCAGCTAGACACAAATGGCTGGTCTTCCACAGAACATCGGCCAGTAATCTGGCAATTACGGGGGACTTTTCCCCAAAAATCCATATCAGGATTCACTTGCCGAAGCGGTTGTTGTAGTACTCGCGGTGCCGCCCACCTCGCGATCTCTTCGCATTGTAGAGCTCCTCCTCCAGCTTGCGGGAGGACTTGCCCTGGAACCTCAATCAATTGTAATAGACTAGAATCCTTCCGATACCAGGATTTAGTGTTATTATTATACTAATTTATTTATTTAATTAATTAATTATTATATATTAATAAGATTAATTAAATTAAATAGTTAATTAATATTAATTAATATTAATTTCAATAAATATAAATAAATAAATAAAGTCAAGTAAATAATCAGAGGCAGAGGTTTCGTTCAGGTTCAGGGTTTCGAGTGTAGTGGTTTAGGGTTTCGGGTTTAGGAAGTTGATTTAAGGGTTCCGGGCCGGTTCCGGGTGTAGGGTTAAGAGTGTAGGGCCAAAAAAACAAACACGAGTGGTCTCATCATCTAAAATTAATGAGTTCTAACTATAATATATTATAACTAAAATAAACAAAATAACAAATATCATATTATCAAATGCACTGCGGGTCACTTCTTCTCCAGACTGGTCTCTGGGGTGGGCTCCTCGTTGTCCTCGCCGCCCTTGCCATGGTCCTTCTCCTTGCGATCCTTGCGGTCTTTCTCTTTGCCATCCCTGCGGTCCCTGCGGTGCCTGCGGTCCGTGTCGCCCTTGATCTCGGCCTCGTGCTTCTCGTTCTTCTCGGCCTTGTCATTCTCGGCCTTCTTGTCCTTGTCGTCCTCGTCGTGCGTCTTCTCGTCCGGCTCGCCCTTGTCCTCGCTCTTGTCCTCGGACGAGGGTTTCTTCCTCTTGTTGAGGAGGTGGTCCGTGGAGCTTCCAGCACCGCTCGCGGCCTCTGTGGGCAGCGGCTCCATGGTGACCAAGGGAACGACCCGGGCAAAGATCTCCAAGGCCGACTTCCCCCAATCAATGGGGAACATGGCAATCTTGTGGATCTTGATGGGCCGTGCCTTCGGCTGTGGGGACTTCGGTGCCGTTTCACCGTCCTTGGGGTTGATCGGCTCCGTCTTCTTCTTCTCCTCTTCTTCAGTCAAGTCCACAGCCGGGGGAGGCGGGACCTCCTCGCTCTTGCCAGGCACAGGTTTCCACGGCGGGCTCCTGCTTATGTTCTGTGCCTGCTGCTGTGCCGGGACGTTCTGTGCCTGCTGCTGTGGCGGGTTCACAGGCCTCGGCACTCCCATTGCCATTGCCGGTGCCTTCTGGGCTCCTTGCATCGTAGGCGTGCTGATCCCAGTCTGCAAACCTGCCATTCGCAGCAAAACATCGGCCTGGGCCAGCAGCACAGCAGGCGATGGTGCAGGCTGTGACATCGGCAGCTGCAAACCTGGCACCATACCGGTCAACGGCGGCGGCACAGGCAAAGGCGGTGGCGTTTGCGGCAACGGAGGCGGCGTCTGCGGTATCGCAGGCGGCGTCTGCGGCGTCTGCGGCATCGGAGGTGGCATGCTCGCAAACGGCGGCTGCGGCTGTGGCACTGCAGCGGCCATTCCGCTCGTGCCAAAGTGCATATTGTATGCCATGGCCGCCATTGCCCTCTGCTGGGCAAAGGGATCCATCTGTATCCTTCCAGGATCTCGCAGCCAAAAGTCTGCTGAATGGTCCAACAAATTGCTCATGCTCTTCACACATGTGAACAATCCAGCAACTCTCGCCATCACTGCCACTGCCATGCAAGCTTCAATCACTGGGACTGCAAACTCAATCAATTGAATCAACTCATTCAAGCAATGGTTCCAACCAGCAGACAGACAGACACCTTTTTTCAACACAGTGGATAGCAGCTTCGATTAATTGCGAGGACTTGAATTGAAATTGTTGGCACAAGTATCTGCAGAGGTCCCAGCGTGTGTCCGGCTTGGTTTTGAACTATTTTGTTCATAATTTACAAATTCAATTAATTTAATAGTATAATTGTAACACAACTAAATTATGTATTTGTCATAATAAAGTGTATGACACTGGAGTATTAAATAAAGGGCCCAATTATTCATTCATCACCACCAGCCACCCTTACTGCCGGGACCCTGCCATGGGTAGCCACTGCACCACTGGCACGAAGACCTCTGAGCCTCTGCCAGGGCAAGCTCACGGGATTGGAGATCCGCTTCCCAGTCAGACAAGCGTTTTTCCTTGTTGGCCATCTGCCGGTTCTTGAGCTCCATGGTCTTCTCCTTCCGGTCCAGTGCCTCGGCCCTTGCCTTGTCGTCCTGGACAGCCGACCTCTCGTAATTATTCACCATTTCCTCCACCTTGGTCAGCATGCTCTTGAGTGGCTCGCGAGGGTCGTCGTCCTCCTCCTCCGCCTTTCTCTTCGTTGTCATCGCACACACCAGGCGGGATCTTCTCCCAAACTCAACACTGAGCCCAAAGCTGCTGACAACTTCAACACTTGATTCGTGGACTCGTGACATGGAAGTGACTGTACTCGACTCAAACCAGGCACCAACACTGCACAGAAGCATTACGAGCGTGGCTCCTGCTTCAAGTTCGCCAGCTCAGTCTCGATCTTGCTGTTGTGCTCGGTTTTGGACAGCTTGTTCTTCCTGAATCACTGAAGCAGATCACTCGGCAGCAATTCATCGGAACTAAAATGGCCACCATGACAGTTTAATTTAGCCGGGGAGCTTCGCGAAACTCTTTCTCAAGCTGCGAAGCAAAATCGCAACATCCTCCATAGTCTTCGCGTTCATGATGTTGATGTTCGAGAGGGATTTTCCACAGACTGGGCTTGTGTCAAAACAGGCTGCATGAGTGCTCTCACATCATAAGTATGCGGAACAGGTTGTGAGTGAAGGTGCAGCCAGGCAGCCGACTTGAGTCAGTTTCCCCAGCCGCTTCTTCCATCTCATGCTGGCTGCTCTTGCCTGGAGGAGCGATTTCATTGTGTAAGGCCAGCAAGCAAGCACTGGGTTGAGGCATATGAACGACAGCATTGCGACTCAGTCTCTGCAGTCCTGAGTGATTGCCTCGGCTTCGCCACCCTTGTGCTTCGACTTCTTCACCCGATTGCTGGTCTGCGTGAGCAATGCTTCCTGGAGTTTGCCGAATGGCATGAATCAGACATGCAGTCTCCCGATCACATGTTCAACTCAATGACAGCAGAAGTCTGACCGGAAGCAAGTCGTCTAGACTAATCCCTAATCAACAATTCAATGCCTAGAGGCGGTATCGCCGCCAATTTCCATGACTTCATCAGAAGTCACAACAGCAGTGACATTGGTGATGGCCACCGCAATCTGCTTCGCCGAAAGATCCTCTGCACGTGCCTGCTTCGAATTTCGCTGGTACTCCTTGCCGGGGAGCCCAAATATCGACACTAGCTCCGCCATGCCCTCCTCGACACTCTCAGCGGAGGTCTTGTCCGACGAAGAAGAGGCCGAGCCTTAATTTGTCACAGTCCCACTGATTATTTAAGAATAGTAGGTAAATTTTCAGCATAGCATTAGGCAGGAATCGCTTCTTGTGCTTCTTGTTCCTGTCCTTGTGGTCCTTGCCCTTATTCTTCTTCTTCTCGACGTCATCCCCTGCGGTCAGGCGTACATTCTTCTTAGTAGATTTACAATCGCTGCATGGTTTGGTACCTTGGTGTGAACCTGCCTCCTGCCACGAGTGCTTTGGCCAGGCGAGCATGTGCAGAGGAAAGTAGGAACCCATGGGCAGATTCTGCATCTGGCTGTGGGGGCTCCAAGGAACGGCTGGATAGAGTCCTCAAATTCTCACATCAATCAATGAATGAAGTCAAACAGGCTTGCAACGACACGTTGTCCGGGAACGGCACTTAGACGTCTCGATGTGGTAGGCTAAATTAGCTCGGAACTAGCCAGGACAACTTTGGAACTCCAGTCCTGGTGGGCTGCTTTCTCATCTTGCCCCGAACGTAGATCCACCCACACGAAACGGAACTAGCTATATACTGCTTGAGCAAGCAAAGCCTTTCGGATTTGATTGTTCAAATGCCCCAACTCACGAAGACTTTGCTAGACTCACTCGCAACTCTGCCCCCCCTGCACTTACTTACTTACACTTTATTTAATATTCTTACCTTAAATAATCCCTGGATGAAAACTCGCGAGCGGCTATCCGCTGATTCCGGGCCACCATTTTAATTTAAACCGAGCGAATTACACGTCTGCGGCGGCTACTCCGCCAGCTGAACCCAACTATTATAAGCAGGTAAACAGCCGCCTCGCGGCAAAGCGGCTAGTCCGCTATCCACACACTAGAAACAGCGGCTAGTCCGCTTAGCTAGTGGGAAAGCTAGTTATAAAATTTGTAGCGGCTAGCCCGCTTTAAATTCAACACTTGTGCTACATAGACAAATAATGCAAAAGCGGCGATAGGCCGCTGTGCAGCGGCTAGTCCGCTTTTCAATTAATTAATAAGCCAGCCACTTCCACTGTCACTGTTGCCACGGAATGCAGACTCATTACTACTGGTCACCCAAATCCCTTCATTCATAGACTCCGGACTGACATCCCAATCTGACAACAAGGGGCAAACGAAATCTACCGATTTTCCTCGAAGCACAGGTCTTGCCCTGTCGCCATAAAATTATTTGTATGACAAAGGAACTGACTAATTAATAAGCCATGTGCAGTCACTCGCAGCTGCCAGCCAGCCCCGCCCCATGGGCAATCCCACGGAGGCACCAAACCTGCCACATTGGG